AGATCGTGATCTCCGGCTCTCACTGGAGTGGTTTGCAGCCGAGTGTGAAGCGGCCGGGATGAGAATCAGTGTCTCCAAATCCAAGGCCATGGTCTTGAGCCAGAAATTGGTAGCGTGCCACCTCTGGTTTGGGGAGGAGGTCCTGCCCCAAGTGGAGGAGTTTAAGTATCTCAGGGTCTTGTTCACGAATGAGGGAAGAATGGAGCGGGAGATCGACAGGCGGATTGGTACTGCATCCGCAGTGATGCGGGCTCTGTACTGGTCTGTTGTGGTGAAGCGGGAGCTGAGCCAGAAGGCAAAGCTCTCGGTTTACCAGTCGGTCTACGTTCCTACCCTCATCTATGGTCACGAACTTTGGGTAGTGACCGAAAGAACGAGATCGCAGATACAAACAGCTGAAATGATTTTCCTCCGCAGGGTGTCTGGGCTCTCCCTTAGGGAGAGGGTGAGAATCTCGGTCATCTGGGAGGGACTCAGAGTAGAGCAGCTGCTCCTCCACATCGAGAGGAGCCAGTTGAGGTGGCTCGGGCATCTGTTAGGATGCCTCCTTGACGCCTCCCTGGTGAGGTGTTCCGGGCATGTCCCACTGGGAGGAGGCCCAGGGGCAGGCCCAGRACACGCTGGAGGGACTATGTTTCTCGGCTGGCCTGGGAACACCTTGGGATTCCCCCGGACGAGCTGGTCTAAGTGGCTGGGGAGAGGGAAGTCTGGGTCTCTCTGCTTAGGCTGCTGCCCCCGCGACCCGATCCCGGATAAGAGGAAGAAAATGGATGGATGGATGGATGGATGGATGGATGGATGGATGGATGGATGGATGGAAATGCACGTTTGTCATGTTTGGGTCCTGCCATCTGCAGGCTACTCTTCTAATTATCCCACATAGAAAACTTTATCTGGCCCAGTTCTGGCCCACACAATGCACTGAGTCCTTTGRTGGCCATGTCRTTTGCCAGAGGTGGTCCATGCATGGGCCASCACCACATAAACCAAACCACAACTGGGCCRTTTATGGCAAAAACAATGCCATCATTGGTTGTTTAAATCTTTAAAGTGCATTAAAAAAGTGTTGCAAACTGACTCTGCAGCTGTTTTTGTATAACTGTTAGGATCAAGTCGTATTAAAATATTCTAATATCACAGCACTACAAAACCTTCACAGGACAAGTGAGYTCCGATTTTCAGATATTTAGCTTAWAATTCACATGGAAGCAAAGGAAAGGAAACAAAACGTAAGATAGAAATCTGTGAATAAATCCATAATTAAAAAGGTCTAAACTTGTTTGATTTGCAGAATTTCAGAGCAGATTGGCTGACATGTTTGCTGTTTTTCAGTGTTTTTTTTTTTTCAAAAGAGGAGAAAAAAACAGCACCACAAAAATAATCAAAGCACTAATGAAATATTTCTGCTGATCAGCTTTACTGCTAACTGAGAGTTTAAGAGGTTTTTTTCTGCTAAAAGCGTGGAATGTGGCAGAACTTTGTAAAACACGAGTTTGTCTCAAGTATAGGCAGGACAGTGCTGAGCTGACCAACACTATTCTGGGTAATGTGACCAAGACTTAGTCGCCTTCTGTCAACTAAACACACTGCCTCCCACATAGCCCCCCTCTTTATTTAGCCAGACAGCAAGAGTCCCCCTCTGCCCCTAAGCTCTTGTTAAAACCTCTCCTCACCTCCCATGTCACGAGGCCATGTCTGTCATTTTCAATCCGCCCATCCTTTCCCGCTCTTGCACGGTGGGCCAAGAGGTTAATAGGGACTGAAACAATAGTCCAACTCAGACACAACAAACAATGGCCCGTGGGAGCAGTTTGCCTGCAGGCTGCATCATCTCCCACCATTCGYTGTTTCTCCATCTGCTTTTTCCCTCTTTACCCCAATCTCTCTCTGTTCCACTCCACCTTCTTCTCCCACCCTCCCTCTGACAGTATCTGTCAATACTTTTATCTCTTGGACAGTCATTTATACCCATTTGCAAGGTTAATTGCTATTTCATGGGTTGCTACTTATATTTTAAAAAGCCTTGTTAGGGGACTAATAAAGTGACTATAAAGATGCTGCAGAAAGGTAATTACCACATACGGTTAACAATTGGGTGGTGTAAAGTGAAGAGGATGTCGAATTGTCATTTTAGTGGTGAAGTTGAGCATAATTGTTTCACTCTGCRTTGGGAGGGTGAAGGGGAAAGAGGAGAAGCTGTTAAAAATCCTGTTAGAAAGATGTGTACGGCAACAAAGAGGGAGAAAAAACTACTGTTTTACCAATTTCCAAATCCTGGAGAACATTTTTCCACAGTTTAAATATTTCTCAAGCAGATTTCATCTTTATTAAAGAAAAAAAAGTTTTTATGAAATAACATAACAGAAAACCCTGCAGAAAAACACCACTTTCAAGATATTTTAGAGAATTTGCAATACCAAAATGAACTGTAAATGCTTTTTCGTAAAAGAGCTGCTGAAGAAGCTGAMAATGTTTAACAGCAAAACTGTTCATGTGAGTTCAATGTGAGCAGGTGRCATTTGCTGAACACACAAAATAAAGAAAACAAGTGAAAAAGCAAAACTGTGTCAAAAAAGCTGAACAGAGCAGAAATGTAGCCAAAACTAAACAGCAGAAACAAGTTGGATTTAGGAGATAGATGGTAAAAGGACYGTAAGAAAAAGCACAAATTAGCAGAAAAACTTAAAACAGCTAAAACTGCCTAAAAGGAGCTAAAAAGTAGCTTGAAAAAGCTTAAATTTGCACAAAGATGCAGAAAGAGCACATTTGCTGAATTAAATATTAAACTGAAATTTTTACAAAAAGGTAGCCTGGCCCTTGCCTTCCTACGCAGATCCGCTCAATTCTAGTTTCCCTTCACTGCTCCTTGTACGGTTAGGTTAGGTTAGGTCCTTGTACGAAGCAAAGTGAAGGACAGGGCCTGGTTTTAACCAGGCTAACAAAAAGGTGAAGCTAGTAGAAAAAGCTAAATTAGCTGAAGTCAGCTAAAATAGCTTAATAGGCAAAAAGCACAGTTTAAATAAGCAGAAGAAAAGCAGCAAGGAGCAAAAAGACACCTAAAATAGCAGTAAAAAGCTAAAATTATAAAAAAGATAAGCTGAAGAAGTTGAAATTAGCACAAAGAAGCAGGTTAAAAGATAAGATGTAAAGATTTATAAACTTTTCGAAGGGTTTTAAGGTTGCTGAAGACAGTTGCATTAACTTTCAAACCGAAAAAAGTTGCAAAAACCTAAATAGCTGAAAAAGTAACTTACTGAAATAATAGATATTTATAAATGATTTATATCAATAAAAATTTATCAATAGGTATTGACTGCAGATGAAAATAAATGAGCTGAGCATTTTGAGTTATAAAATGTTAAAATAGCGCACAAATTGTGGAGCAATGCTGAAAAACGTATAACAGTAAATTGTATAATCTCAATAGCTTGATAAGAATTTACACAAATATATGATGACCTTTTAGACGGATATTTGAAACTTTTTCTAATGTGATATTGTTTTCAAATTGAGAGAATTGTGAAATTGTTTTCCAGGCAATATACTGTCAGTACACTGAACTAATTCTATGCTAAATTGCATCTTGTATCTTTGGTTTGTGTTAGTCTAAAGTCCTTACTGATAGGTGAAGGTAACAGAAACATCTGCACTACYTGATGCTTAAAACTGATTTTTTTTTTCATTTGAAACACAGGAGAAAAGATGCACCTGCAAAACTCACAATTTTTTTTTTGTTAAATATAGAAATATTATCACAGCCACCATAGTAATGGCTAGATAGACTGAATTTTATAGTTTTATTTCATGTTAGGTCAATGTCTAATGAAGGGCAAAAATGACAAATATTGCAACAAGTCAGCCTTTCTTCATGATGCTTTTGTTGTTTTATTAGAAATCACATTTCTACCCCTTTGGTTTTCAAATAGAAAATGACAACACAGCTTTTATTTTGAGGAGAACAAGACAGAGGCTAGACCAAAGACAGCATGAGAACAGCAAAAGACAGAGAGAGGGGAAAGGTGAGCGAAAGAAGATGGAGAAGAATACAATGAAGTGGCTTAACAGGCTGATTCTTCCCAAATCCATCCATGCACTCATACTGCGAGCCGAGAGAGGGAAGGAGTCAACTCTTTGCCTTCTGTTTGCTCAGCAACCTAACCCAGTGGGGAGGCACCGGCAGGAGAAAGGGGGCAAGCGTGTGGGCTGGGTGGGACGTGATGGAAGGCTGGTGTAGGGATACAGATGGAGTCAGCAGAGGTCACACTGTTGATTTAATTTTTTTTTCTAAGCTCTGCTTCTTTAAGCGTCCACTGTATTACAACACAACCCTCCCTCCACATACACAAATCTAATCTGCACAAGTTGATATATACACACAGACACACACACACAGTATACCAATCTTTGAGGCCCCCAGAGAAAGCTATCCTGGGGTGTCCCCTCATAACACAAACTCTCTGTCCCCTATCACTCGCTTATTTTGCTCCTCAATCGTGTTTTGTCAGCGTCAGCAACAAAACGGACGGTCAAGAAATAAGATAGGGAGGGGGAAAAAAGGTGGTGGGGGGAAAACTTATCGATTAGCCTTCAGAGCTCCACGTGGGCCACTTTCATCGATTAGGAATGAGAGAGCAGCAAAGCACCAGCCATGTTCACTCTCTTTCCCCCCTCTCTTTCCGTCTCTCCAGGGTCCTTTGTCCTGGAGAGAGCGATATAATGGCCCTTTGAGAGGGGAGTGAAGGAGGGAGGCAGGAGAGAGGCAAGGAACAAGATGGAGAAGGAGGGGGAAGGATGAAGCCGAGGTGGAGCTGGTGGGGTGACGGCGGTGGCGTCTAGAGATGGARCGGGGGAGTTCAGGCCTTGCGGCGCGGTGGGGGGAGTGTACAGAGGGATGGGGGGTGGGGGTGGGGGAAGGTAAAGAAAGACACCAAGGCGAGAAGAGAAAGTCTCAATGACAAAAGGTCGGGGCAGCTGGGCTTAGGGCGACAGGGACCAAAGGGAGCAGCGGGATAATCTGCTAAAGCCCAGAAAGGAGAGATTCAGCATGCGCACCACCCTCGTAGGGCCTATGAGCAAATTTGCACATAAATAAGGAGCCAACTTTGCTTTGAACGGGAGGTCGAGGGAGAAAGCATCAGAGAAAGGAAGAGAGAGTCAGAGATACAGAGTGAAGAGTTGAAGCCACAGCTGCCTGCCGGCTGGTCGGACCTAGACAAAGTTCAACATTTAATGCTCCRCAAGGGAAGATTTTTTTTTCTCTGTGCCTCATGTTTGAAAAAAGTAAGCAAAGATATTTATCATTTATTCCCCCCTACCCACTCCACGTTGGTTTTTCATACTCTTTTTAGCTGCTGGCCCCAAGCTTTCGAAGTTTACCCCTCAAAGACTCCTCTGTCTTCTGTGTCACTTTCCCTGGACTCAGGGGACAAGAGGGTGTGTTTTTTGAGGACTGCAGGCTTTGTTGTGATGGTAATTCATTTATATGATGCCAAGCTATTGACTATAACCGTACTGTTGTGGCTGACATACAGTAATTCAATCTAACACATCAAATATAAATGAATCTGTGAAGAATAAGTGTGATTATTTCAAATCAAGCATACATAAAAATAATCTGTAACTATAGGCCCTGTCACACTATAATGTTTTATACGATGTATATGGATTTATGAAAAAGTTTGTCCAACACTAAAAAAGGCTAACCTGAAAATAAAATAAATAAAAACTACCAGAAGCCTTTTTTTTACCTATACATCCTATAACGCTAACAGTTAGATCAAATATAGCCGATATGAGTAAAATAGTCATAACAAAATGTTCACGTCAGCCCAAGTTATAGTGTGACAGGATGTTTAGCTGCTGATTTGACTTTTTATCATCTTCCATTTATAAATATCTTTTTTTCATGACTCACCACTAATTTAATGGATAAAGGACCCTTATACAGCACCTGCAAAGTACCACAAAAATGATTGTTTCATTTTTTTACCCATTAAAATATCCTATACATGTCAATTATTATTTACTATAAAATCATTGAATGCACACTTTACATACCCAAAAATCAATGCACAAACTTGACCCTTATAAATAACAGTGCACAGACACTTCCGTCTTAATTGCAAGTCTGAAATTTTCTCCTGAAACAGCCTGTGTGTGTCACTTGAGAAAAGGTCAAGAAAGCAGCTTATTTTGCATTAAAGCAACTGCTCTATTATATTATATCTTTAAAGACATGATTTTACATAGAGTATAGCGTATCAAATTTGACCAAATAAATGATAATATATTCATCCTTTCAATCAGAAATGTTGTTCTTGAGAAGGCAGTTCTGGGAGTTCTTGCAGAGAAGAGCGATTCAGGAAGGAGTTGACTTAGTGCAGGTACTTATTGATCAGCCTTGGAAGTTATGAACTAGCTGTCATTTCCCTTTCATGAACAGCTCAATAGGTATTGACTGCAGATGAAAAGCTTGTGCAAGTACGGCTAGCCTTAAGGACAGGACAAAAAAAAGAGGAGACGACGAAAACTCAATGAGGACAGCATATGGGCCCTTGACATGCACAGTCATCACTGCACACAGATGGACACACAAAAAGACTGAGCTCAGACAATGAAGTCTCACACACGCGCTGTGCCGYATTATTTTATAGAAAGCTAAGACAGATGCATACATTAAAACAAACGCTTAAATCCTTCTAAACACACAACTACTGCCAGTTGAGCTGTGTTTACAGGTGAGGCTGGAGGTGCAATGAGATCACAGCAAGGACACATATGGAGAGGGACAAGAAAGGAGGATAAAGACGGAATGAAAAAAAAAAGAGCCGGAGGAGAGGGGAGCTTGGTGGACAGAGGAGTGTAGATTAGCAGCATTGTGGGTGTATGAGGATTTGCGGTGGTGGCGTGTGGCCATGCTACTGAGCAAACCTTGAGTTGTTGTGTGGACACTGACAGTCGTGTTGCCTACTGAGCACCATCCAGATCACAGACACCCTACAAGGCGCCGACGATAGGGAGGGCTCCGGGCCTCCCTAATCCTGGCTCATCCKTGTTCCATGTTCTGCAGCTCCCGACCATGCTTAGCAGAATTTCACGCCACAAATCTAAAACCAGCGTGCTACACTAAAASGATAAGGCCGGGTGGCAATAGGATGAGCAATCTTTTGTTGCTAACACCTCTTGGTCTCATTCAGGGTTGGTTAACAAATTTTTCTTGACTTTTGTTTTTCGTATTCGTGCCACTTTTCTTTGATCTCACTTTGATATATATCTTTTGTCAGCATACAGTSTTTTATTTTTGTTATTCTTTAAATAACCTGTTTTCTATGCAGTTCTTTTGATCAAAGCTTTAGGTTCACAGTATGGGTAAAAAAAGGGGGGGGGGGACAAATCAAAAAAGAAAAAGAAATAAAGAATAGAAGGTTGCTGGTAACCTATACTAGCAATTTACTTTGCTTAACTGTAGCGCCCACTGAAAAGGAACCAAGATTTGAACTGCTGCCATCTGATGCCATCCCTCTGTGTGAGATGCAGGCATTTTGCTGCAGGCGCAAAGGGAGCAAATCCACACCAGAACTAAGTCTTACTAAAGAATGGGAAAGCAGGAAGACAACAACTAAGCATGTTAGCTTCAGCTCCATACGAATGTGTATGTGTGTTGGCAGATGAATGAAAGATGAGTGGCCTTTTGCAAAAACCCAGACAATTACAACAGAGCAGCAGTGTTGTGCGTCTCACAAATAACGCCTTCCCAAGAATCACAAGTGATGGGAAGCAAATGTGAAAGCTGCCATTGGTTTGTTTGTTCTGTGCAAAAGAATGCTGGTATTTACTGCGTCTTATATCAAAACCCAAACACATTAGGGGCTATTCAACACATAGAGGGTTGAATCTTTCAACCCATTCATTCTGAACATTTTCATCATTCTGGTTGTCTTTAAGGCAAATTATCTTCTTTTAGATTGGTTTTGATTCTACACAGTTGAAGACTCTGCATGATGAAATACTTCACTACAGATGGAACCCTATAAAGTATGTGCCATTGGTTTAAAATTCTGTTTTGTGCACCAAGCAAATGTTTACTTTATTTGTTGTTTGTCGGCCTTAAATTACCTCCCTGTAGCCTACTCACACATCCTAATTACAAGACAGATAGGTCTCCACGAACAGGATCACAGGGCTGACTCTGTGCTTGGGCATACAGCCGTCTGCTGAGCAGTTTACCTCTGCTTTGATAGCAACAGCATCAACAGCAGGACCTAATGGGGTGCATGACCAGTAGATCTAAGCACAGGTCTTCCATATGCATCTCCCCACTGCCTCGCAAATCTCCCACCGTATTACCACGAGCCTTGGCGAGAGGGGTAAGCTACGTAATACTAGAGATGTTCAGTCACGTAACATCCCAGTAAATAGGTTTTTTTTTTTTCAAAATTGTCTATGAGCATGTTTGTGTGTTTGTGCGTTCTTGGTGTATGTTTGACTACCTTTTTTCAGGCTTGTGATTTTGCAGAATCAGCGAAGAAGCTTTAATAGAATGTGTGCATGTGTTTGCATGTCTTGTGAGTAAATGCGAGTTCTGAACAGGTGTGTGTGCCTACGAAATGTCATTATGCATGTTTGTAACAGTCTTTGTGCATGTAYACGGTGAGATGTTTACTGCTTTTTCACCTGCAAGAATGCATGACAGCATCCAGCCCCACGGGGGTAAAATGGCAAATGGATAGAGGAGACAGCGCCAGCGTTATATAGCGGCTAACTGGGGGGCTGTTTAGTTTTATGTTAATTGAAGGACTTACACAGAACTCTATTGACAGTTAACATGCCCTTCAAGGTGTTCTTTGTGGTTCAGCACTTCTGTCAAGACACAAGCAGTCATTTTGCTTCACCTTTATTTATATGCTTGAGTACTCAGAACATTATGGAACGCTGTGGGGCCCAGTAATAGATGTGGGAGAGGGGCAGGTGTGTGTATGGGAGGTCAGATACCTTGCAGATGATCCGACCAGGTGTATGGGTCATTTGTGACTTATCCATTAGGGAAAGATGTCCACAAGTGAGTAACTAGAAGTAAAGGAGGAATAGAAAAAAGTGAATCACTTTGTATATTTGTTATGTTTTACAAGATATTATATAAACCCAACAAAGCAAAAAAGGAAAGTAAGGTTCTGCATAATTTTTTTTTTTGTGTGAGTTCATGTCTTCACTTGGCAATATCTTCGTTTTGACCTTTGTAACACAAACCCTAATGCAGATAATGCAAACTCAATTTCCCATGTCCTTATCTTTAAGTCTGTAGAAGAAGCATTTTTCATTTGAATTCATGAACACACTCAAAGTGTTTTGATAAGTGGGTGTGAGTGTCAGTGCCATTTCATGTCTAATTGGTAAGGCATGTGTCTCAAGACAAGACTGGACAGGGCTTCCCTATTTAAGATCAGAGGGCTCAAAAAGCAGACCCGTCTTCCATCACAACACCAAGGTCACCTGTCACTTAACACCCCTCGACCACTGTGCATGTTTGATTTGGTTGACACATTAACAGACAACTGTGACATTTAGTTCTGGGTGTTAAGAGGGCTGTGCCCTTTAAACTCCATCTTCACATGCAACAACCCTGCAATTGTACCAGGGCAGCAACAGGCCTTGTTTTACAAGAATAACGGCAAATTAGGAAGTGATTAAAAACACATCTGAATCAATTAGTATTTAATATAAGGTGAAGTTAAATCATACTGCAGGATCATTTGTTGCTCTACCCCCATTCTACACCTATTAATCAAATGCATGTATAGCTCTTTACGCAACAACCAAATTAGCACAAGCACTTCCTTGCTCGATGAAAAGCCAACAAACGTCATATTTTGTCAATAGAACAAGGTTTTTTTTGCTTAAATTCTAGTAAAAGGATAGTGATTTAGTACAACTGGACTGAATGAAGTTCCAATGCTAATATTAGCTAGGCTGGGAAATGTCAAGCAAGTGAGGGGTGCWATGCAGCTGCAGCTAATCATTCGGGTTAATTGAGGTTTCCACAATGCTAGGTCTTGTAGATTTTCCATCTATATCTCAAATGACTGCTCCTCTATAAAGTGTTAAAATACCCCACATACCCACTCTTATTATGTAATCCTTGATTATCATAGTCTGACCCACAATTATTGCAAGTGATACTGTCAGATATCAGATGAGCAAGGTTCAAATGGGAAATGGAAAGTGTAACATATTGATGAGTAACAACCATAGACTTAAATATCACTAGACTGAGTCCCACCCAT